TTATTATCATATTAGTATTAGTATTAGCATTAGTAATGGTAATGGTAATGTTAATGATTGGTATTGCTATAGATATAAGTATTCAGGGGCGGACCCAGGGGGATTTTCTTGGGGGGCGGAAATATAAGGGTATTTAAGAGAGGAATTTTTTCTTTTTTGTTTTTGGGGACTAAAGTATACAAAATTAAAAGTTTTGGGGGGCGAAAGTGTATTAACTAATACATAAATACCAAAAAAAAAAAGCTTAAAAAAAATCTTGGGGGACGGGTGCCACCTCAGCCATATGCATGGGTACGCCCCTGTAGGTATTGGTATTGATAATGACAATGGCAATGATAATGGTATTGGTATTGGTATTGGTGACGGTAACTGCAATGGTAATGGTCATGGTAATGGTATTCATATTGGTGATGGTAATGGTAATGGTAATGGTAATGGTAATGGTAATGGTAACGGTAATGGTATTGGTATTTGTATTCATATTGGTACTGATACTGGTATTCATTACTTACAATACGAAATATATTTTTATTTTCTTTTACTTTTCAACTACTTTGTATTGCATATCATTGATCTTACTATTTGAAGGACTTTTTTTAAATCAAATATTTATTTTTACGATGAATACCCCGTGCAACGTACGGATGAAGTACTAATAGTTCATAAACCATATGTCTATGAGTCTCTGAGCCATTTAATGCATGTATGGCTGGATAACATGTCTTGTCTCGTCGATCTCAAATGGGAATTTGTATGCTGATGGAAGCAACGATGCAAAGCATAATTTGAAGGTATCGCTATGTCCTCATCCTCCACTATTCATATTGTTCTTTCTCAAACTAATTTAGTGTGCATGCTTAACCCTCCTAAGTGATTGGTTACGTCTTGGGATATGGTTATTTTGGAGCCTCTTGGGAACTAAGAAAATCAAAGGTTGATTTTTTCAAGTTTAGTAATGATGCAGCGCAATCTGGTAATGTTACTGTGGAGGAGTATTACGAGATCACTAGGATCACTGGTTGTTTGGTTTTCGGAGAGGATATCTCCATACAGATATTTTTAGCTGCACAATTGGAAGCTATCTTTGACGCGGTTACCATATGTAACTAGTTAGGGTTTCATATTATGAACTCTCTGGTTTTTTGTTGTCATTGTATGGATACTCTTTTTTCCTTGTGTAGGTCCACAATGTTTTAACTAGGCTCCAAACTTTAAGATAATGGGATAATAAAATACTTTTGGCCAAAAAAAAAATGAGAAAAAAAAAAATGTATACAATAATTCAGTTAAATGCTTTATTGTTTCTACACCATCGACAACTACAATTGGAAGGAAGAAGCCGGCCAAGATTCAGTCAAAAAACCAATTTTTTCACGAGAGTTGAAATCACATCTCCCACAGGTAATTTCTGACTTTTGCCAGAAAGCACCTCTGCCAAAGGTGATTTATATACAATTTTTTGATGACCGAACATATTTCCGTTTTAATCGGACAGTTGGAGATTGTATTTGGAATAAATATAAGAGCCTTGATTTACTTCATATGTTTTCGATTCCATTGCGGCAACATTCTCGGTTTGTTTTATCTCCATACTATTGTGTATGTTGATAGAATGTTTTTATTTTGGAGGGCTTGTAAGAAGATGAAGAAGAAGAGAGGGTTTAACGGGTTTGGGTCTGGGGAAGAAGAGGAGTTTTTTTTTTCTTTTTGTTTGTATAAATTGTATTTTATTTAATGAATTTTATGTTAGTACTTTGCTAATTAAAAAAATTATTTGTGGTATTAATCTAAGAAAAAAATGTAAAAACTTTTATAAAATATAGTATTGAACTTCGAGGTATTAAAGTGAGGAAAAACATGTATTAGTTTTAGTTGCCCCTTAATAAACTTAAGGCATGTTATTTATGATTCTCAATACTCACTTTTAAATTCTCTCTAAATTTTCACTTGGCTTGAGAATTAATTTAATTATCGAAGGAATTTTATATGGACCAAGCCTCGACGTTTTAATGAGTGTCTGTGATGGAGGCGTCAACCTACGTAACGACTAATTGATCAATCCACCAGTGAGTAACCAATCAATGCACCTTGGGAATCCATACCGACAAGTCCATCTGTAAGAGCCTAAGAGTCCAACACGATGAATCCGTCAAGAGTACCCGAGGATTCACAAATAAGTAATTCACCAATCTATCGGAGGCTAGGAAGGCTAAGTGAAATGATCTAGATCAAGCCAACTTAAACTATATCGACATTAGTTTTGAAATAATGGGAGATGGACAAAAATATTTACATTTTTCTAAGGGTAAATAACACTCACCCCTTGTGGTTTGGACTTTTGTACACATGGCCCATTGTACTTTTAGTATAGCACATGATACCTTTGTATTTTAATATAAGCACATAACTCACTTCTATTTTTTTTTTTAAATTATCTTCCTGATGAGCATGATTATTTACCAAATGAAATACCACTAGGGTTATGTGCTTATATTAAAAGGTAAAGGGGGTCACGTGCACATAATCCAAACTATAGAGGGTCATGCGCTTATATTGAAAGTACAAGGGGATCATGTGCCCAACGTTCAAACCAAGATGGGTTTAAGTAGGGGTGGTTTTTTTTTTTTACCAAATTGCCCTATCAATCGGCTGCCCAATCGAACCCTACTGATTCTCTACCAAAATATTTCTACCGAATTATTACCGTACCCTACCAAAATGTTTCGGTAGGGTAACGGCACTCAATATTATTAAAATGGTATTACCCTACCGTACCGAAATATTATTAATAAATAAAATTTTATTTTAATAATTCATTTATTATGTATAAAAAGTGAACATATTATCCTAACTAACTACTATTAGTTAAAATTAATTATACTCTTTAGGTATGTCAAAAATATTTTAAATTGCTTTCATTAATGATTATATTTGATTTTAAAAGTTGTTATGTTATAATTTTATTTAAGAAATATTTTATATTAGGTAAATTTATAACATATATTTAGGACATTTGTATTTTAAAAACTAGTTTTGTACATTTTAAACATGGGTTATTTTACATAACCCCCTAGCCACCAAATAAACTAGGGATAAACTCAAGCCCAAATCATCATTTGACATACGCCCCTAGAGAAGCGAAAGTACTATACTACCCTTATATACAATTTTCGGCCAAAACTGCATTCAGCAGTTCTGGTCCTGCATTTATCTTTTTCGCTGATTTATTTATTATTATTTTCCTTTTTTTTAAATAATAAACCTTTTTGTTAAATTTATATATATATATATATATATATATATATATATATATATATATATATATATATATATATATATATATATATATATATATATATATATATATATATATATATATATATATATATATATATAGAAAAAATAATTTTTTTTTTATTTTCAAAACAATATGTTTACTGTACTGAAAATAACTACATGTAACTATAGTAATTCGTAGTTATGCTCGTTTTTTTCCCCATATTTTTAGTCGATCAATCGTATACGCACACGAGTACTGGCTTATACAAAGGAAATTTATAAAACCCCAACAAAAATTTACAAATTTCAATATTTTTATTATAAATCACCTCATAACCAATAAAATACAAAATCGAAAATGCACAAATATACGCATATGTAACTACATGTTACTATAGTAATGTACATTAATGTATACAGTCTGATGTAACTTCAAACAAAAAATTTGACACCTTCAAGGAAATGATCAATGGCCTTCATTAAGCTGCAATTGCAAAATCAAAACAAAAAAAAAAATTACTTTAGTGCAAATCAACAAAATATGAAAAAAATATCAAAACACTCAAAAATCAACAAACACTAAGGCATCGATATATATATATATATATATATATATATATAGAGAGAGAGAGAGAGAGAGAGAGAGAGAGAGAGAGAGAGAGGGGTTATTGCTGGGAAATGCTACATATTTTAAATCAAACAGACACTGACTCTTCACCCCCTCGCCTCCTACCAAAACCCTAAGCGCCGCTAATAACCACCTATGGTTCCGCGCGTCCACAAGTGCAAAAAATTATAGAAATAAATCTGAGAACATAAAAACAACGAAATTACCTTCAAAATATAGATCTCGACGAGAGGAATCCAACGATGGGTAGCTCGTCAAATTTCGACTGGTGGAACACAAAATACACCTCCGGCAAGACCACCGTCGTCGAATGAAAGAAAATTGCAGAAACAGATATGCGCTCCAAACTGAATGAAATCACCACCAAATGAAAGAGCTCGACGAGAGGAATCCAACAGTAGTTAAACCATCAAATTTCAACCACCGGAGAGAGAGTTATGACTCCGGGAAGCAATTTCGCCGGTGGGAGGTTTGTGGAGGCGGGATTTTGAATCTGGGAGAAGAAGAGAGAGACCCAAATGTGAGTGCTAAGGTTTAAAACTGATTTTAGAAGGGTATTATAGGAACATCAGGGTGGCCAGGGGGGTATGTCAAAATATTTTCGAAATGAGGGGTTTCCCCTAGAGTGTAATCCACTTGCTAGTTAGTTCTATATAATTTGAAAATAAAGGGGGTCTACAAAATAATCTCTTTAAACATATATACCTTGAATTACTTTAAAAAAAAATGATATTTAATTTAGACTTAAATAGTAGATAATATAAATTGGTAATTACCATTACCATACCCTACTGTACCGAACTTTTGGTATACCGAATTCAGTATACCGAAGTTTTGGTAAGGACAGTAGTAATGAATTTCATAATACCGAAATTTCGGTAATGGTAGTAATTCGATGGGTTTGGCACGGTTGCCCTACCAAACTCACTACTAGGTTTAGGTGATATCTACCTTTTTTTTTTAATAGTTAGGTTAGTTATGGGCCATATATAATTTTGAAGTTCTAAAGCTAATTACCCAAAAAAAAAATAAGAAAAAAAAATAAATAATGGAAGAAAAGATTCACTTTTGTAACTTTACATGTGTTTTTCAACCACTGATTCCATTTGTCTTGTGCTTAGTGCATATCTATATATATAAAAAAGTATATATTGCCGTGCGGCCAACTCAACAGTCGTAGAGAATACTTGGAGTACATAGTGATAAGGGAGAGAGGTTGAAATTGAAACGTGAACCAGGTTTCATTTTTTTCGCATTAATTATTAACCCTTGAGAATTGAGATCTCTCGCCCATCAGATCCCATTTGTTCACTCATCCAATTCTTTTTCTCAGAATCAATTTTTATTCTTTACCATGGAAGCTGCAAATGGTTAGCCTCCCTACTTTCAAAACTCTTGTCGTTGAATTGCTGATTTTTTAAATTGTTTTTTTTCAATTTTATGCTGGTTTGGGGTTGATCGCCTGTATTTTGAATATTGTGGGCTATGGTGATGATCAAGATGCTTGGGTTGGGTTATTTCTTGCATGTATCATCTAATTTTTATTCCAATCTGGTCTAGATTCCGCTTGCTTGGGTGTTATTTATTTATTTATTTTTTTGTTAAAGGATTTATTTATCTATGAATTAAGGCCTGCTTGTGTCTAAGTTTGGAGTGTTGGGAAATGTTAAGTCGATGGAGAATGATGCGCTACGGCAGTAAACTTTGGAATCTCTCCACATTTGATAGCTTTGATCGATCTATTTGCCGTAACTTGCAGTGCAGAAGTTAAAACCTCTTTACGGACAATTCGATGTACCAAGGAATTCTGTTTATTGCATTTAGATGTCTCCGTCATTTTGATCTTATATGTTCAGCCATACACACATACCAGTAAAAACAATTTATACAAACGAAACGTGTATGAAATTAGCACAAGAATCTCGTGGTTGACGCGTAATGAGAGAGATATATCTTTTAAATGGTTTTTTTTTTTTTTTTTAAATATCTTTTGAATGGTTTGATTGCACCAAATTATATCTTGATTACTAACTACGCCCGGACCGTACACTCACTAACCTAATGGGTATCAATGAAGTTATCTTATTGCCAACTATAGTTACTTTTACCATACCAATTTAATTTAATTGCCTGTATAGTATCATTTCCTAATTTGTTTACTCTGTTTGTTAGTTGTGGATGTCAAAGGTGGAAGTGTCCCACTTACTTCAGTATTTACTGCTGACCAAGAAGGTAATCTTAATCTTTCATTTTTTAACTAGTAGGTACCGTTTAGAAACATGAAGTGTATCTTCTATAACTAGTCCGATACAATTTAATAAGAGTTTGCTGGTATGACTTGGTACTAGCTACTATATACTACTTTGCCTTGGAATATGAAATTTTAGATTTTCTGTTTGCAATAAGTGCCTCTGTATTGCTTCTCCAGAGTCCCAATTGTAGCTACGTCAACTGTACCAATGATATATAAGAGACGCACCCTTGGTTTAGTTTCTCCATTATTTGAGTTGCCAAAAGTATGCTAACTAACAATTGCTTAGAGGATTTGGAAGTTATTCTTTATAGTCGTTACGTTACTTGCATGTTTGGTTCAATTTGCTGACTACTCTTCATCTGTTTGTTAGTTGTTGAAGCTAAAGACGGAATCATCTCGGTTGCTTCTACATGTTCTGGTCATCAAGAAGGTTAGTTGAAAATTCTTTCTTATAACTTGAAACTTTGAGCATAATGTTTCATTTTATTGGAAATGCAATGCTAATAAAATGGTTATAGATTGTCAATTTATATATATTTTGCTGTTTATATACATCTGGTCAGTGAGATCGAAGAGGATCTTTGTGATGATGTAGATTGGATACTGTGGATCAATTAATCTACTAATGTACCCCATAATAAAATACAGTTAATATCTATTGATAATATTTGGTAAAAGAATGGAAAAAAAGAAGACAACACCACATATTGAACATTTGAAAAAGATTTAGCAATTCGACGTTACTCGACAAGTTGGTCATGCGGTATGAATTTTATATAACTTGATAGAGTCTTAACAAGATGATGCTAATTTTGCCAAGTTTCTTTTCTCTCCTTTAAAATTTAATATCTATTTTCTGCTTCTATAGTTGCTATTATCGCAGCGATAATATTTGTTTCGTTAATTATGCCAGTGAGCTATTGAGGTTTACCCTTTGATGTAGTACATCATTAGCATTTTTGCCGGTACAAGTAAGTCATATGTTTGGGTTGGGTTCACAAAATATATATATATATATATATATATATATATATATATATATATATATATGTGTGTGTGTGTGTGTGTGTGTGTGTGTGTGTGTTTGTTTGTAAAAATGCAACTTTCTATTTGAGAATTTTATATTTTATTAACAGGAAATAATCTTTTGCAAGTTTATGCATGCGTATTTAATGTTGAGTCAGTCAATACAGTTCACATATAAAACTTTTGTTAATTATATATACATTGAAGTATAAACCATTTATTAACTTTGCTCAATCTATAAGAATATGAAATTTATATTTTACATATGATATATCTAAGATATACTTATTTATACGTATATCTATCATAGAGGTACACGCATTTCCATATATTTAAGTACAATACTTAAGTGAGTGTGGCGGGTACAAAAAAATTAAAGAACACCAATTAACGTACACAGTTAGACTCATGCCCTCTCCGTGACTAACTACTTCATAGATAATTTGGATATTATTTGTTACCTTCTTTAATTTATTGAGGTTGGCATATTTCTTTTATTAGTGGTCGGATGCTAGTTTAATTCTCCTATATAAAAGTATCCGTATGAACTTTAAATATCCCAGTTTGGTGCCACTTTCTGACTGTCTTCAATCTGTTTATTAGTTGTCGAAGCCAAAGATGGAACTATCTCGGTTGCTTCCGCATTTGCTGGTCATCAAGAAGGTGATCTCAATTCTCAAACCCTGAATTTTAACCACTAGTTTCCTATTTCTTTCTTTTGTGTCCTACACTAAATTGCTTTAACCAATGTTAACACTTGTTTCATCTAATTGAAGTGGAATTCTTTAAAGATCTATGAATTCTCAAGTAATGAAGAAGTAGTTTAAAAGGATCGACCAAATTGTGTAGGCACTATACTATTTGTTTATAATAAAGGCAAGAAAAAAAAACTGACTGGGCAGTTGGGAATCACTTAGCAAGTTGCTGTTACACAAAGTATGGTACTCGATTAAGTGGAATTATGCATTATTACAATTTTTTGTACGATTTTGTTAATTTTGAGTTTTGACTAGTTCAGTTACAGGCTTCCCCTGAAAACATTGGCTTCTACATTTTCTGTTTGCTACTAAATGCCTCTTTTTTTTTAAAGTATAAAAATAAAATGTCTTGTTAGTGGCACTCGCATGCAAAATGTCAAAGCTAATAATACATTCTGTCCAAACTCCTTTATAATGAATAATTGTCGTTCGACGTTCTTGGTACATGACTAACTGTTTGCTGAAGTATCAACTTGTAAAGCAACAAATTTGCATGCCTTAATGATTAATGTGATAGTTTGGAAAAGCAAGAGTGTAAATTATGAATGAATGAATAGTAACAAAATATTTTGTAATGGGCAACAGCTGTTCAGGATAGAGATCACAAATTCCTGACGAAAGCAGTTGAAGAAGCTTACAAAGGTGTAGATTGTGGAGATGGAGGTCCTTTTGGTGCTGTTGTAGTATGCAATAATGAAGTGGTCGTAAGCTGTCACAATCTCGTTCTCAAGCAGACAGACCCTACTGCTCATGCAGAGGTTACTGCAATAAGAGAGGTTAGAATTGAATTGTAGCCGCACCCGAATTTATAATATTCAACATGTTTGCTGTTAAAAATTCTTTGCTATTATTCAATGCATAACTAACTTCAAAAACATATAGGGTCTTATTGTTAGAATCTGGAAGTAAAAATTAATGTTGAAATTGGAGATAGAAAAGAAAATGCTGAATTGCATTAGTAGCTAAAGGAGAGAGGACAGAAATCTTATACAAAACCTTGTACCAATTCATTATACTGGCTTTCGTTTATTGGAATGGGATGAACGTTGGCCCTACAAACATTATTCATACCCCATGTGGCTTAATCATTTTCTTCTTTTTGATAAGAAGAGTCCTAAATCGATTAATATATTGGACAAATTACGTAAACTGTTTGACTTGGCATTTTTTTTGCAATGATATATTGATGTGTGATTATTTACTGAGGTTATTTTATGTGCCACCTTTACGTGAAATATAGCTAGAGAGCGATCTACTAATTAGAATTTTGAAGTATAACTTGCTTTAGAGTCATCCATCTTGAGAAGAAAGAAAAAGTAAAACACCTCTTATATAGTTAGTCAGTCCTTTCACGCAAGTGGAGTAGAACTTTATATTGCCAGTGTAGAAAGATTCCCACTAGTTATTTTATTAACTTAGTCGCATTGATATGATATTTCAACATTGATTAATTGAAAAGGTTTTCGTTAATTGTATCTTTGGGATCAATAATTGCTTTGATCCTCAAATATCTCGTATATTTTCTTTTATGATAGTGCAGAAAACATATTTGAACCCCCAACCTCTCCCCCACCCGGAAGAAGCCGATATGCTCTTAGTAACAAAGATGCTTAATAAAAACCAAAATTATTTATTTGTGGCCATTCCAACGATCCATCATGCATGTAAATTTATATTAGAAAATTTTATAGCCTATATATATAGGTTTCACGTATGTAAATTCAGGCTTCTCGTGCATTTTCAGGCTTGCAAGAAGCTGAATAGGATTGAGCTCTCGGATTGTGAGATTTATGCGTCGTGTGAGCCTTGTCCTATGTGCTTTGGTGCTATCCATCTTTCCAGAATCAAGGTTTGATTCTCAATCCATTTCTCGTTTATTCGACTCAATTTCACCCTTACAACAACAGATCAAACATTTCCATTTTTTTCTTAAATGAAACACGACGATTTTATTTCGTTCAGAGATTGGTGTACGGCGCCAAAGCGGAAGCTGCTATTGCAATTGGTTTTGATGACTTCATAGCAGACGCATTGAGAGGAACCGGATTTTACCAGAAGGCTAATCTGGAAATCAAACAAGCTGATGGTAATGGGGCCCTTCTTGCTGAGCAAGTTTTCGAGAAAACAAGGGCTAAATTTCAACTCTATTGATCATTATTCTTCACTTGTCACGGAATCTGTGCTCCCCGTTTCCTTTGTTCATTATCATTTCAAATTAACTTGACTACTAATTTAATTGCAAACATTTAACTTTCCAGATATTGGTACTTTTGAAATTCTTTTAAGTTTTCACCACTACATATTCGTACTTTTCAAAATTACTCGTTTGGCTTTGGACACTGTTCATTTTGTGTCCTGTTTTTATTTTCTTCTACCAAAAATATGGGAGTTCTTGGTAAAAGATGTTGTTAATCTACCAGAGAAGATTAGGGGAGCAGCAATATTCAACTTTAAACTTCAACAACTTTAAACTTCAACAGTAATAATAATTAATAGAGTAATAATAATTAATAGGGTAAATGAGTAGTAACACCCTAGTTTTGAAAATATATATGAGCAGGTCCAATAAACTTTTCTGTCCTAAACAAAATCTCAAATTATAATCTTAATTTGTCAGACCCCCTAGACAACCTAAAAATATCTGTTTTGCCCTTTTAATTATTAATTAATATATGCCCTAATCTTCTCTCTTCCACTCACCCAAAATCGCCGTTTTATTTCTCTCTTTTTCTCTCGTCTTTTTTGCCTCTCTTTTCTTCATCTCGTCTTCTGTGCTTCTCTCTTCATCTCTCGTCTTCTCCGCCTCTCTCTCTAACTCTCTATGGCCAAAAAAATAAATTCAAAAGCGCAAAGTCTCCGGCGGCGGCGGCGGCGCAGAAGAAACCGGAGGCTGCCAAGAAGCTCCCCAAGGACGAAGGCAGCCATCGGCGGAGAGTAGACGAAGAAGAGGACGAAGAAGAGCGTGGAGACGTACAAGATCTACATCTTCAAGGTGCTTCGTTTTTATATTTCCTATATTCTCTAGTCATGCTTTTTAAATCCTCTAATCGTTTGCTTAATGAATCATTTGGGTCAGAAAAAAAAAAAGCTCTCTATTGCCAGATCTGGTGACGACGTCGATGCAAGACAGCCATCGTTTGATCTCCTATTTTTTTTCTTTATGCACATGCATGTTAATTGCTCTGGTATTGAAAATTGGGAAAAATTATTGTTATTGTGGATTTTTTAAAGGTTTATTTGGTTCGAGGGAAGAAATCATCCGTTAGGGTTTTGTTTTTTTCTCGGTGAAAGGATCATTTTTTTTGAAATCAAGTGTTTAATTTTCTATGTATTGTTCCTTTTAATTGGGTTTCCTATCTCAGCTTGATTATTGCAGTCTTGAGATCTGAAAATTGTCGGATTTTTTTGGTGTAGAAGAAGCAAATTTTAATTATTATTCTGTGTATCAAAGTGGAGAAAATTTCTCGAAAAAATTATGTAAGTGTGCATTGTGTTGTGAAATAATTCCCATTAGCTCGTATATTAAATATTTTATTACAAATACTAATGGTGTGAATATTATTAATTAATCAATATTAGTTATTAAAATGGAACTAATATATACACACACACACATATATATATATATATATATATATATATATATATATATATATATATATATATATATATATATATATATATATATATTAGTATATACGATTATGTATATGTATGTATATATATACACACTATATAATATAATACAATATACTGCACAATATAATATAATATAAATATATTATGTGAGTGGGAAAGATAGAGAGAATGTGTAAGGAGATAGAGAAATGCTAGCCAAAAAATTATGTTTTATTAATTCACTTGTACATCTATTTATAGATACAAAGTGATGAGTCATCACTAACACTTGTCAACATTTCATCTAACATTGTTGGAAATGACTACACATGTCTTAACACTTGTCAAAAGACTAATAACTCATTTGCTAAAGTCCACAATATTATAACACTCCCCCTTGGACGTAGCATATTTGTATTGACTGAATTAATGCCTCATTAAAAACCTTAAGCCGGAAAACCCAGTGGGAAAAAAATCGATCAGAAGGGAAAAAGAGTGCATGATTCAAATCCAAGTCGTGTGCATAAGCTGTCTCGTTAAAAACCTTAGCTGGAAAACCCAATCGGATAAAAACCAGTCGTAAGGGGAAAAAGAGTGCAGCGCACTATTGCTCCCCCTGAAATGAGCAATATAAGCCCCCCAATACGGGGCTGTCAATCAATTTGTAGGTTGTCTCATTAAAAACCTTGAGCTGTAAATCTCATTAAAAACCTTGAGCTGGAAAACCCTACGGGAAAAAACCAGTCAAAAGGGAAAAAGAGTACAACACATCATAGCATTATGTGCTCCCTAAAACAAATAATATAGGCCTCCGAAATAGGCTATTTAATAATCATAAGTTGCCTCGTTAAAAACCTTATGTCGGAAAAACCACATAGGAAAAAGACCGAACAAAAGGGAAAAAGAGTGCAACATATTATCACTTCGTCGCATTTTAAATCCACAAAAGTTTAAATATCAAAATTCAGTGAACCATAAAGATAACATTAGAATGTCTGTTAGACGTATGTCCATTCCCTCATGGACAACCCTAGGAAACGAAAAATTGATAGTATTCATAACCAGTAAATACATATAATATAATCATTCCCATATACTCGGAAGAATCAATATTTTACAAGGCACACATTATACCGAACAATTTTGTTGTCATTATTCCTCTTACGAACAAAACCCCATTTATATCCAGGGAGTTTATATTGTTCGGTGTTGTATAACTAGCCCATATTTATTTCGTTTCTCTAGGAAAGTCAATTCCGGTTTAATCGTTTTCTCGCTTTCAGGCCAAACTCGGCTCTGCCGACGTTCTATTTTCGAACGTGATTCACTTGATTAATCATCCAAAAATTTTATAATTGTAATTGTCCTTAGTCGAGAGGTTAATCTCTACATATTTATTAGGAGCATGTTTATTATGACCTGTTTATTCAGTGGATTTAATTAATCCATATGAGTGTGAGCATGTGTTACAAAGTACTGATGTTTATCCCAAGTACTCTGCACAAATCTTATCAAAATTATTTTGAACGAGTTTTTCCGTCACTATCCATTCTCATATGCCCGGGATATAGTAAGCATAAAACGTGCAAAATCATATTTTACGTATGTAATAAATACACGCGAGACCATCTATAAGATGTGCCTAACAAAATCATAAATATTTAAGATATTGGTCCACTTGAAAGGTTGTATTGGTCCATAAATATTATCAACCCTTTTGCATTAAAGGTTACATAACGAGATTTCTATAAATTACAGAAATTCTCTTTGGACATAAGGATCATTATATCGTACGAATGTCCGTAGTATATTCTTTATTTCAAGCCACCATAATATTTTATGGGCGTCCCCATATTAATATGCCAAAACCTGAACATTTCAGGATTAACTAGTTTATATGGCATGGTGGTGTATGAATTGAAAACTCGAATTAGGACACAATACAATATACAAAAGCTAATGCTTTTAATAAGTAGAACAATTGTTTATTCCCGGAGCCATAATCTCTACGGAAAGTAATTTAGTTTTACTTCGTGCTTTGCGCAATATCACACTCAATAAAATTTAAAATATATTAAATTGTCAATTAGACTAATACATCGTCCGGGGAGATATTTAAACTCAACCTCGGGAATATATATATATTTCAGGGGAGATATGCAAACTCTACTTCAGGAAATTTTCATCTGAAGGAGAACTTCTAAAATTCGACCTCGTGAATATGTCACTCGAGTGTGATATGTAACTTATCTTAATTTCGGGAATCGGTCCGAGAAAGATATATAACTCAATTTCAAAGTTCAAAATTATAATGTATAGACAATAGTCTATTATGTTTGTGTTTCACATGTACATCCATATTAAATAATATGTCAATAAAATGCTAACTCAATCTTGAGAATTTAACGTCCAAGAGAGATATATAATCTCAACCTCGAGAATTTCTCGTTCGAGGGAGTTTTGCAAACTTGATCCCGGGAATTTAACATCCGAGAGAGATATGTACATGTTACAAAATTAGTAGACGTGTCGAATTAACTTTGAAATATTACCAATATCATCAGGGGTGTGTAAGCTCGACCTTGGGAATATTTCTTCCAAGGAAGTACTATTAACTTAAACTCATGAATAAATTTTTCGAGCTAGAGAGTTGTAAATTTTTATTTGGGGAATATATATTTAAGCTCGACCACATGAATGTTTTGTTTGAGGGAGGTATTATAAACTCGATCTCAGGTATATGTCATCCGAGAGATATATTTAAATTTTATCTTAGAAATTAGCTCAATCTCGGGAATAAAATCATCCGAGAGAAGTATTTCAATTTGACGTCATATATGTTTATCTCGAGAAAATATTATAGGCTCAACCTCGGGTATATATTGTCCGAAGGAGGTAAATAAATTCAATCTCGAAAACCGTTACATCGAGAGAGTTATATCTTAATCATTAAGAATATTATCATGCATGATCTGAAATATATAATTTTTTACTCATAGGCCAAAATATATTTTGTAGGCAATAAACTCATGAGTCTTAATTTATTTTGACCACATGATTATCTCGGCGGAAATATTTGCATCCGCTCTGGTCAATTTAAGAACATCTCGACGAGAACTATTTTTCACTTCGTCATTGTAGGCCTAACCCCATATTTAATTTTATAATGGCCTTTCAATCGACCCTTAACAAAAATGTCAATCGTTTATATGGGTATTGCACCCAATTAATTTTATTTTAATAGCATCATTTGCCGTTGAAAGGAATCACAATTTTCAGTGATTCTACGAGGATCACACCCGGGGTTATATTTACGGCTTCTATATCAGCCATTATTCGGGACTATGACGTCCACCATCTCTACGAACATTATGTTCGGAGTAGTTATCATAGTCTTTAAATCGACCCTTAATTTGGACTCCTATGCGACGGAGTCATTTTCATTTCTCATTATCTAAATCAGCCCATTTTCTTTTGTTAATTTAAACAAGATTATTAAATAGATCGAAACTTGCACATGACAATCACAAGTTTCTAAATTTACAAAATCAAAATCATGTAATGCAAGTTGAAAATTCATAGTCGAGGCCAGAGATAATGACTCTTTTTTGTTTTCATAAATCAACATGCACATAATTATAGATATATATCCTTCCTTTTCTCCGAAAATCGGTGGCGTATAAAATACCGTAGTATTCGCATCACCATTAGATATCGAGGATCTGGATTTTATCAAATAAAATAAAATAATATAAACAAACTTACATAACCTACCTTCTTCCGAGCAGAACCTCGTGCTGATAACGTGTTGTGAAATAATTCGCATTAGCTCGTATATTAAGTATTTTATTACAAATACTAATGGTGTGAATATTATTAATTAATCAATATTAGTTAGTTATTAAAATGGAACTAATATATACATATATATATTAGTATATACGGTTATGTATATGTATGTATATATATACACACTATATAATATAATACAATATACTACACAATATAATATAATATAAATATATTATGTGAGTGGGAAAGATAGAGAGAGTGTGTAAGGAGATAGAGAAATGCTAGCCAAAAAATTATGTTTTATTAATTCACTTGTACATCTATTTATAGATACAAAGTGATGAGTCATCACTAACACTTGTCAACATTTCATCTAACATTGTTGGAAATGACTACACATGTCCTAATACTTGTCAAAAGACTAATAACTCATTTGCTAAAGTCCACAATATTATAACACATTGCGATATGTATTGTTGATTTATAATGTAAATGTTTTAAACTGAAGTTGATTTTTTGTCATAGGTCTCGGTGTTTGAACAACTTCTATGCACTAAGTTTTTGTCCAGAGGACATGGTGTTCGTCAATTCAAAATAGTTTGTTTGCAACTGATAAATCGGAGTTGTTACCGTATTGAAAAGTGGGAATTGAAGCTATAGACTACGATCTACACTATATATGACTATACTCATATAGTCACATGTGGTCATATACGTAGTCATATATAGTCACATGTGGTCATATATATATAGTCATGTATAGTCACATACATATAGTCATATATAGTCACATACGGTCATATACATGTAGTCATACATGTCACGTGTAGTAACATGTAGTAATATATAGTTATATGTAAGTTGTGGTTTTTTTTATGTATAGTGATGTTGATGGTTGTATTTTTCCAATTTTTTGTTGGGTAATAATTGATTTATAATATCAAGATTCAAATTGTGAATTTTGTTGTTTGTGTAGATGAAGGTTTTATTTATTTATTTATTTTTTCTAATATATATAATCAGCGGCCTACGTATTCAGTCGACTATAACTTTGGAGTGAAAAGACAGTATATGACTAGCTACATAACTACACATGACTATAGAACTTGAAGTACTCTATAGTCATGTGTAGCTTTCAGTACCGTAATTTTTTTCAAATTTGATTAAAAAAAATTAAAAAAATTAAAAATTAAAAAAAAAAAATAAGTCGAAAGATTAACAAAAACAATTTATAAAAAAATACAATAATAATAATAATAAAAATAGTAAAATAATATATAGAATAAAAAACAAACAAAAAGAATTTTATTAAAATAAAAAATCAAAAGAATTATAAATGCAGACCCAAAATGTTGAATGCAGTTGGTGGAAATGTTGAATGCAGTTGGTGGAAATGCTGAATGCAGTTGGGTGAAAATTGCATTAAAAGGGCACAATAATACTTTTGTCTCTTCAGGGGTGTATCTCAAAGAAAGAATTTTAGGGGTGGACTTATCACTATTTATTTTCCATATAAAAGGTGTATATCAAATGGACCATAATTAATATTACGACTAATTTTACTTACCTTACATCTACTATTATGAAATCTTCACTTCCATCATTTCTATTATAAAAGAAAAATCAATTATCCTCTTAAATTATATTAATACCAGTTCTACCCTTTATCTTTTCAAAAGACAATTTTTCCTCTTTATTGTTTCAAAAAAAGAAAAAGTTATTATACTTGTGTTTGTAAAACTCTACTTTAATTTGTTTTCCCTACTCAAGTTTACTACTAGCATCTACTTTTAAAGTAGATGTCTAATAATAACAACAAGCGGTTTACTATTCATAGTGCAATTTTTTTCAGCTACAGTGCGAAATAATTCATTTGTCAAAAAACACTTTAACCTTTTACAAAATCTTCTCAACCTTCAAATATTTCGACTTTTGTAGATCGTGATTTGTTTTCGTAGAAATCAGTTAAAACCCAACGATTATCAAGATGGCCAACATCGATCCCGTAAATGAGGTAAAAAATTACGTTTTAGTGTGATTTTTTTCAATTTTCAGTCGTTTCGTGTAGAATATCACGAAATTATTCAAGTCGTTTCGTGGTGTTTTGCACGAAATTAACACCATATTCGTGTTTTCCAGTCATTTCGTATACAATACTACGAAATTATACCTCTTATTTCGTGTAAAATCACACGAAACAGCAGTAAACTGTTTTGTTATTCATTTCGTGCATTACTACACAAAATGTATACATTAATTTCGTGTACTTTTACACGAAATCCCTAGTAATTATTATTTTTTTATTTTTTTTGTGCAAGTATCTAACTTTTTTTTTTTTATTTACACAGCCATATGAAGACAATTTGTATTTTGATCCCTCGGTTTTGGATCAAAATGAATATGAAGATTTCTCTCACTTCTTCCAAGTTGATATTGTGTTCGATAGTAGGGAAGAATAAATCAAGTGAGCCAAAGCAACTGCAGTTAGTCATTGTCACCGTTTGATTTGTCAGTCTAGAAGGGAGAATGCACAGTACTTGACGTGTGACAAATACGGACATGGCCGACAAACAAATATCGATGTGAAAGATCCTAGAAACACTGGAACAAAAAAATGTGGTTGTCCGTTCAAATTGATTGGCAAAAAGTCAAGGTTTGATGAATTATGGCGGTTGACTGTCAGCGATGGCAGGCATACTCATCGTCCGGCTTTGTTTACTCACGGACAAGGTACGACTAGTCGTATAACTCCACAACAAAAAGCAAGAATTAAAGAATTGCGAAATTCTCACGTGAAGCCAATGCAAATCATGGATAGATTGAGGAAAGATGATCCGACGATACAAACCTCTATGAAGCATGTTTACAATGAGTTGGCCAAGATTAAATCTGAGGAAATGGAGGGCATGACTGTTATTCAGTTTATGATGCATAACTTTCAACAAGGCGAGTATCGGTATTGGCATCGCGTCGATAGTGAAACGAGCAACACGATTACATATATTATGTTTGCATGTCCCGAATCTATTAAGTTACTACGGTTGTTCCCGTATGTTATATTGATGGACTGCACATACAAGACCAATAAGTAAGTAAAAATTACGATTGTTTAAATTATGATTATTGTGTTTTAATGTATTGTATTGTTTAAATATGTAAGAACAACATTGTTGTAGGTATGGAATGCCTCTTTTGAAAATAATTGGGATAACTCCAGTTGGGAGGAATTTTACAATTGATGTCGCATTTATGTCGCATGCATAAAGATGCAGACACCTACGAGTGGACTTTGAATTGTTTGAAAGAGTTGTTAGATGGTGTCAAACCTGATGCAATCTTGACAGACATGGAGTTGGGTCTTTTGAAAGCACTGCCAAATGTCTTCCCATTTTCGTTTCATATGTTGTGTATATTCCATACAGACAGAAATGTTGAGGCAAATGCGACGAAATTTATGGGAGGCAACAAAGACCAATGTCTAATATTTCGATGTGGGCTGTGGGCTAAGCTGGTGAAATCAGAAACCGAAGAAGAGTATCATGACAATTACAATGAAATTGTTGGACGATATGCAGGGTATCCTAGACTGATACAGTATTTGAATGATACGTGGTTGATATACAAGGAGAAGTTTGTTCGAACCTATACTCACAATGTGTATCATTTTGGCAACACGAGCACCAACAGGTATTACATGTTTTAGTTATTTAAATGATAAAATATATTATATAAAAATAATATTTATTTTGTAATTTGACTGTCGTTGTATGCTTTGATTGTTGTAATTGGATAGGGTGGAGAGTGCTCATTCTTCAGCGAAGGGTTGGTTAAATGCTTCGACCGGAGGTCTGGGTAACGTGCAAGGCAAAATTCGGGACCAAGTTTATATTCAAATTAGTCAGCTGAAGTGCAATTTTTCAATATCATCCAAGATAAGGAAGCATACTGCAGCATGGCCGTGTTTTCAGGGTTTGATTTGTTATGTTGCGCATCTGGCATTAGAGAAATTGGATCAAGAGATGGAGTCCCCGGCGATGCAAGATCCGAGTATTTGCACACACTATCTTGGAATACTCATGGGCTCCCATTCGCATGCAAAATTGTGCAGAAAATGGAAGATAATGACACGTTCGTCATTTCAGACTTGCATCCATTATGGAGTACCATGGAAGTTGAGCCTTCGGAGCTACATGAGTATCAAGTAAACCGCGAGGAGATTGTGGATAGACAGATTGATGACCTAAATTGCAATTTGAAGAAGATGAATTACACGAGTAAGATAAATGTCGTGCCTCATTGCGTGGCATCGTTTATCCGTCTACGTCGCATCTGTCCGAGCCATCATTTGTTAAGACCAGAGGACGACCAAAGAATAACTCGACAAAGAGAGACCCTTCCGGATGGCAGTATCATATTGATGAGGAGACAATTAAGTCGCCTTGTGGTTCCAAGGGTCGCCAAACCTTATCTGGTGCAAAGATTCCTAAAGCAAAGGTTAAGAGAAGCACTGATGGAATGCCTCAATCGAAGATGAAAGGTCGTGGTTCTCGTATTCCCACACAAGAACCTGTTGCCCCTACAATACCTACACATGAAGGAATCGACTTTTAGCACATGAAGGAATCGACTTTTATTCTTTCGTGCCCAGATTTATGGTCCGTCTTATTCAAGATTATGTTAACGTGATGACGGATGGCAACTGTGGGTACCGGTGCGTTGCTCAAGACGTGTACGGGGATCAAGAAAATTGGCCGCAAGTGAGAGGGGAGTTGCTTATTGAGTTATACGAGCATGCTAATGTGTATACGGCGATGTTTGCCAGTACCGGATACGTTGAGGTCATACGCAAGTGTGACTGGACCTCAGGGCCTTGTCCACAAGCTTATCGGACGGACATTAATGAAATGGGATTGGCCATTGCTACCAGATACAGTGCATTAGTGGTACTTTTGACTCAAGTAGGGACTATGACTTACCTTCATATATTTGGCAGTGGTCACTTATCATGTATGATTGTTGTGACATTGCACAACAATCATTTCATGTTTGTTAATTTGGTCGCGAATAGTCCTCTACCACCAATCCATCCGGCATGGGTACACCATAGAGCTAAAAACCTGAGGCACTTACTCAAAATGTACAAACCCCGACTACTCTTGTACGAACAATTAAAGTCTAGTCGGTAGTTCAATTTGTAGTTGTATTTGAATTCTAGTTCAATTTGTATTTGTATTTGAATTTTAGATCAATTTGTAGTTGTATCTGAAATCTAGTTGGATTTGTATTTGTATTTGAAATTTAGATCAATTTGTAGTTGTATTTGAATTCTAGTTCAATTTGTATTTGTATTTGAATTTTTAGGTCAGTTTGAGTGCCTAAAATAAATTGGTTAATTAAAAAACAAATCAATTAGTGATTTCGTACTGAATTTCACGAAACATTACATTATATTTCGTGGAAAAATCTACGAATTGTAAGGTATAATTTCGTGGAAAACTCCACGAAATATGATGTACAATTTCGTGGGTTTTGTCACGAAATTTTTTTTTTCAATCCAACAGTTTCGTCATTCGTGTTCTATGACATTAAACACTTATATTTCGTGTAGAAATACACGAAATTATTGAGTGGATTTCGTGTAATAATACACGAAATAGCGGGCGATTTTTTTTTCTTTTTCAGGAAAGTTACAAATAAAATAAATCGCACTGCAAGACAGTAAAAATTGCATTATGAATAGCATTTCAGTAACAACAATAACAACAGCAACACCACTACCACCACCACCACAAACAACAACACCAACAACAATGTATCCGTTCTGCAAGTCCTACTATGTTGATATACTTTGATTAATGAAAACATAATTTTTTTAAATATATATTAAAAAGGGCAAATTACCAAAACCCCCCTGAGGTAAGCCTAAATAACGAAAATCCCCCCATGTTCTCGTAATTACGAAAACCCCCTTGAGGTATGCAGACATCTTACAAATTGCTCTAACGATGTTAAACTCGATAGAATCTTTTTGATTCTCCCGAATATTCCTCCGATAATACCAATTTTGCCCTTGTACACGAAATTACCCTTAGGGGGGTAATTGTAAGCATTTTATAGGGGTCATAAATATGTAAGATGATTTTGCTGAGCCGCAAAGATCGAAATTGCGTCTGCATTTCATGCCGCTGAAGACGTAATCGCATCTCATGTAGTCGACCAAATTCACTCCGGTTCGATTTCATTGCTCGGTCTCCAAACGGTATTCGAAGAAATTGATTCGTCAAGAATAAGCTTAAACTTATAGCTAGTTAAACTCAAAACCCAATCTGCTGAGCCGCAAAGTCGAAAAAAGTAGAAAAACAAATATGATAAAAACATTCAGAATTTATTTTGCTTTTGTCGAAACTAGCCACATTGAGGACGAACATTGATATTATTAACCCTGTTCCCGAATTCATATACCGAAACCAGAAAGCCAAACATCTTCTGCACAATTACCTTTACCACATCAAAAGATGCTGATTTACTACAAGATACTATTTGTAACTGCAAGTACGAACAAATTCGCAAAGAAACACAATCGTGAAGGACAAATGAATTTTCAAATTTGAACTTTCATGACGAAATTCAGTTTGTTCGTATCAAACACAGTAACGAGCAAATTAATTCACATGAGATATCAAAAATTCCAAATCCTCCACATCACTTCAAAAATCGAAAAAGTTGTACAAATCCGCGTAAAATGTTATAAAATCTCGAAGGAAAGTACCTGTACCACCGGATTTTCCTCCTCCATCATTTTCCTCACAGAATCTTTTCCCTCATCTGCCATTTTCCCCTCTTCTCTAACTTCCTCTTCCTCCTTTTCCCCTTCTTCATCCTTCAAATTCCCCGTCGGCAGCAATTCAGCTTCAGAGCAGGGATTATCAACAATAACACCACCATCGTTATCACTCACGGCATTATCGGAGCAGAATTAGCGACCTCTGGATTGGGATTAGGGTTTGAAATCGCGGCTACGTCGTCGTCGGAGGAGTGGAGGCGGGAGAGGGCTCTGGCGCGGCGGCGGAGGAGATTTTTGAAGTCCTTGGGTGAAATCGTCGTAGATGGGCACGGCCAACTGCGGGGAACATCCGGCACCTTGTGGAGGTTGCCTTTGTACACCCCACTCCGCAAAGCTCAGCCTCACGGTGTCGGCAAACTTCTTCAGAAGCTCCACCATCACCGCCTGCAGCAGAACCCATGGTGGTCCGAAAATCGTCGTCCAAAATCGCGTCGTTGGTTCGGTCGCCCGCCACCACATTTTCAGCTTTTTTTCTTTTATTTTCACATATTTAACAGAAGGATATAATAGACATTTCACGTTTTCGGTTAAAAAAATTCGGTCAACCGTTAGTCAAGTGGGGTTTTCGTAATTACGAGAACGTGAGGGGGGATTTTCGTTATTTAGGCTTACCTCAGGGGTTTTTGGTAATTTGCCCTATTAAAAATTATACCAAGGACTCAAAAAAAAAAAAAGAGTAATTTTTCTTTATCTGAAATATTTAGGTATAAGTTAATTTTAAATTGTTCCATTATCAATTTCATATGTAGACATTTATATGATTTTATATTAAACTTATATCAACAGCAAAATCAAACTTAGGATGTAAAATAGTAAATGGTAAATATCATTGTAATGTTTTTCTAATAAATCATAATAAATAAAAATCATATATCAACATTCTTTCATTTTATGAAAAACCATTGATGATTGATTTTATTATGTAACAATATATCACTTTTAATGATAAAATAGAATCACTTAACTCCAAAATGGCAAAATGATAGAAAAGTAAAATATTAGTTAAACTTGCATCTGCGCTAAAAAAAAAAAAAGGCATTTGAGACAAAATGCATTTCCGAAAAAAAAAAAAACATCATGCACCATATTTTAAATAAATATTTATATATCAAAGCGCGTTTGAAAATAAAAGGACTAATGGTTTCACAATGTTCTTTCATATTGAATAAAGGGAAAATAAAAGGACTATTGGTTTCAGGAAGTGATGAAGACAACAAAGAGTTATGGGTGATTTAAAAAATATTGGGGGAGAATTGTCATCCCATAACTCCCCATAACTCTATGTTATCTCCACAACTAGCTAAAAGTAATAGTCCATTAGAACACTATCGGAATAATGTATCCAATGCATTATCCCGTTAATGTTTTTAACTACCTTTCAGGGGGTGAGTGTAATTATCGATACCATAGGGACCTTACAGTTATTTAAGCATACCTCAGGGGTGTGGGTGTAATTTACCCTTGAATAAATTCATAGGTATGTGTTACTGCCCATGTAGGATAGTTAGTGAGATGAACAACAAATACGTTCAAACACATAAAGTATTTTGAATAAAAAGATGATGACTAGTTTCCCACAATGCTTTTTTTCATTGTATAAACTTGAAATTGCGTGTTATTGTCATGTGGAAAATTTAGTGAGATGGACAACAAATAAGTTAAAACAGATAGAGTATGAACATAAGAATACAAGTTACATGAAAATTCTAGAGATTCAGAAGAGGACATTCCCACACAAAAACCACAATTCCCACTTCTATGAATATAATTCTCGGAAAACAATCTGCTACTGAAAGTGAAATAGTGAATTCTTAATTTACTCTGAAGAAATATGAAAAATAAGCATGATATATATATATATATATATATATATATATATATATATATATATATATATATATATATATATAGTAAAAAGCAGTTTGCCCCCTAAACTAAGGGCCGATTTGCACTTTACCCCCCAAACAAAAAAAATTTGCACGTTTTTACTTGAACTCGTTAATTCGTTGCACGGTGCCCCCTAAACTCAATTTTCCGGCAATTTTAACCGGAATGTTAAAACATGTGCTTTGCACGTGATATTTTGAGGGGTAAATTCGTCCCTTCACTTACATCTTTAATATTAACTACAAATAAATATTGTAAAAAAAGGGAAAAAGAAAAAAAAAAAAAAAAAAGAAAACAGAAGTCGTCTTCCATCTCCCACCATTCCTGCGCACAAAAAAAATAACCCACCTTCCCCGTGATTTTTTTTTTTGTTTTTCTTTGAGCAATTGAACCAAAAATAGATACCAAATGGAATGGAGATGAGCCTGATAATATGAGAACAAATGAGAGGATTAGCCATCGGCAAAGTAATTCCGATCCCTTCTTCCATATCCACACGACGAGTACAAACTCCGTCGGCTTTCAACTCGAAGCACTGAATCATTGCAGCTAAGGAAGCCACCGATATTCCAAAAAAAAATTCAAAACTAAAAACCCAAAAACCCAAAAACCCAATCCATCCCTAAAAATCTCAAACACTAATTTAAAAAAATTCCAAATTTCTTCGAATGGGGCGATTATGAGGGGTGGGTTCATAAACGGGATCCACATTAAGAACATGGGTTCCAGAATCATTAGCAATGGATGAATCAAACGGGTTGTATTTCAAAACGGATTTTACGGCAAACGGGCGGTGGAATTTTTTCCTGGGCCGCAACAGCTTTGGCGGCGAAAATGGAGGTCTTGCGGCGGGTTTGAGAGGAAATGAACATGGATTAAAGCATGGGTTGGTGGCGATTGAAGCAGGACTGATGAACTGCGTGTGTGTGTGTGTGATGTGTGGGCGGAGAGAGAGAGGGGTGGTGGCAGGTGGCGAAGGGAAGAAGACAATATTTTTTTTTTTTTGTTTTTTTTGTTTTTGTTTTGTTATTTTTGTTTTGTTTTTATTTATTTTTTTATTTTTTTAAAGATTAATTTATATTTATTATACAACATGTAAGTGAATAGACAAATTTACCCCTCAAAATATCACGTGCAAAGCACATGTTTTAACATTCCGGTCAAAATTGCCGGAAAATTGAGTTCAGGGGGCACCGTGCAACGAATTAATGAGTTCAGGTAAAAACGTGCAAAAAAATTTGTTTGGGGGGTAAAGTGCAAATCGGCCCTTAGTTTAGGGGGCAAACTGCTTTTTACTCATATATATATATATATATATATAAGACAATGGGGTTCTGAATTGAAGCCCTACAGAAAGGATACTCTATTGTACTGAATTAGGTTTATAACACAGCAAAAGAATAAGGAAAAAAACGTGAAAGGCGATGGAAATTAGTGGGAGATTACTAATATTTTAATTATTAAGTATTAATTATTTATTATGTTTTATGT